GGGACCTGGAAGACTTGCCTCTAACCACTTGCTAGGACTGGATTATGTGTCCCTTTGCAGCAGGCATATCCTTGCCCACAAAGGGGATTCTTGGGATGGCTGTGATCAAGGAAAGGCCTAGTAACAGAGGGAAGCTGTGGTCATTGCCAGGGTCCAGAGCAGCTGTAGAAGTTTGCAGTTGGAAGACCTCTGACCCAGTGATCCCACTCTTATGCAGACCCACTGGCATTTAGGACTGGGTCCTGGAGGGGCAGACCCCACCATCCTTACTGTGGCAATGTAGGAGCTTCTCCAAGAGGATATCCACTTGGAGAGTTCCCTCTGAGCTGCCCTCATGGGTTGGCAAAGCAGCCCTCAAGTCTCCACGTCCAGTTCATGGCTCAGGATTCAATGGGGAGCCAGTCTGAAGGGTACAGCAGGGGGGCAGGGGGTGTTATTGCCTCTCTAACTTACTGAGCAGATGGGCTGCTTCAGTTGCTCCAGTTGAAGCATTTTCAGCACACGGGGCTTCATTCCTGTATAAAATGAGCTGCAGGAGCCAAGCCCAGAGGTCATGCATGAGTCGCTGTGGCCAGGCCTGTGCCTGGGTGGTGGGACTGCTGCTTTCTGTCTACACACAGGGGGAGGTCAGTGCTATTCTCCCACCATGGCTGGGTGTTATTTGTGGCTCCAAAAAGACCTCACATCCATGGATGGATTCAATAGGCACACCGATGTCCTGGATGTAGAGAAATCCAGTTCTCGTGGAGCATTTCACTTCTCCCAAGGGTCCCACCTCAGTGTTACCTCATCCCCCGCATAGCCAGCTGCTCTTCATTCATAAACTAATCTTGACTAGCTCCAAGGGAGCTGCAAGAACGTGCTGGTTGCTTTCAATGGGAAGGAGCTGTAGGACTGGGTGTTTTCTCTGTATCAATGACATTTCAGCATGTGTTGCCCACCCACATTGCCAGTGGCTTCATGTAAGTGTCTGGCCATATAAAGAAGAGGGTTGATCTTTGTGGGGCTTCAGAGGTGGATGCACTGGTGTCCATCAGAGCCCTTTGGAGTTTCTCCATCATGAAGGACCAGAAGTATCTAAAGGTATCTCACTTCACCCCCCACACCTTGGAGGCAGGACACACGTATTTGGGGTTGCCAAATACTCTGCATCGCAGCAGGAGGAGTGTGGATGGACTGCCCCTTTCTATCGTCCCTGGACCATGAGTCTCAGAGCTGTGCCATGACCTGAAGTCCAGGGGAACAGGAGCCAGGACTGGCAGTCGATACAGCAGCAAGCACCAAATGGTGTCAAACAACACATTCACCAAGAAAGCAGGGACAAGAGTGTCCTGTGCATCAGAACCTAAACTACAGGAAAGGGAATGAGGGTGCTATTACATTTGTTACTGACTTGTAGCTCCACTGCCTTAATTCTGTTTCACCTTAGTTTTTAATGTCTGATTTTCTACCAAAGGGAACGACCTCTCCCCCTGACATCTTTCTGGTAAATACATCTCTGGTGTCTTAGTGAAGTGTATTATTCATTTACCTGCCTCAGTATTAGATCTGTACTTCTGGGAATGTCTAGGTGCCTGAGACCAGGGGACAGTGTTTATAGAGTCCCTCCTTACGCCTTTCTGAAGTCAACCAGGAGTGCATTTTTGCCTACAAGGTGAAGCCTTGGGATGACCATCCCCTGCCAGTCGAGAAAGAATTGACTCCTGAGATCTCCAGGCATTTATTTAAGATTTCCTGGGCTTCATGGGGTTATGAGTGGGCCTAGCAATGAACTAGAATAAAATATACACAACACCACCCCAGCTATTTGGCACTCCCTTTATCACCTGCATGAGCAGCAACATTGGCGAGGCCTCACCTGGAGTACTGTGTCCAGTTTTTGGCACCGCATTTAAAGAAAGGCATGGACACGCTGGGAAGAGTCCAGCAGAGAGCAACAAAAATTATTAGAGGCCTGGGAAACATGACTCACAAGAAGCTGAAGAACTAGGATTGTGTTTTCCGGAGAACTGAAAACTGAGAAGGGACTTGATAACAGTCTTCATAAACATGAAGGATGGTTATAAAGAGGAGGTGATAGACTGTTTTCTGGGGCTCCAGGGGATGGGACAAAAGTAATGGTTTTATATTACAAGTCTTACATTGAATATTAAGATCTTCCTGACTATGAAGGTGGTCAGCACTAGTAAAGCTAGAGAGGCTGTGCAATCTCCATCCTTGGAAGTTTTTAAGAGCGATTTTTAAGACAAACAGCTGAGGTGGTTTGGACAAAGGTGATCCTGCCTTCAGTGGGAGGCTGGACTAGATGTGACCTCCTGAGGGCCCCGCCAGGCTCCTTTTCCATGATTTGGTCATCTTGGGAGAGACCAGTGAACAACCAGGCTTTCCTGTTTTGTGGATTCATTTTCTCATCCTTCTGCTCTGCTGGTCAGACACCTCTACTTCTCCACTCTCTGCTTAACTCCAGCACCAGCCACTTTGACTTAGCTACAATCTTTAATCCCCTTCTGAAGTCCTCCCTGTCCCACCCCCATGTCCACATCCCTCTCGGTGCAGTATCCTGCAATGCAGGAGTGCTTCAGCTGTGCAAGGGAAAGCGGGCAGGGTGATGTGCTATACTGCTTAGAGGTGCCAGAAATGACTGTCTGCACAGCCAAGGAGGCCTAGGGTCTTTGAGGATGTCTACACTGGGCAGTGCCGTCCCAAGGCACTGATGGTCCATTATGGAGGGTGTTGTGCAAAGCACCCAGCAGGGATATGGACTCACCCCCCAAGCTGAAATGCAGGCTCTCCCCAGCCTGCTGCTGCATCCTTCAGGCTGCTGCCACTTTATCCTTGCCCTGTGGAGGTCTCAGGCCTTCAGGTCTGTAGAGGCCAGTATAGTCACTCCATTTTCACCCGTGCCAGCCTGAATCGGCTGCAGCACGTTGTACCAAACCGCGCTCCCCTGCATCGTCACTGCGCAATAAAAGTGGTGCCTACGGCTTTCCTCTCCATCAGTGCAGCTGCCTCTGAGGCAGGGTGCATTTCCACTCCTCTGCAGTGCTGATCTCCCTGCGTACCTGTGCTACCAGGGCAGAGGATGAGGCCACAGAGGTTAGTTCAAGGTGACCACAGAAATATTTGCTTCTCGTTTACCTGGGTCTTTAGTGAGCTCATTCTCAGGCACGTCCCAGCAGGGCGTGTTTAATAGCGACCACTGAAACCAGGTGACGTGCACGTGCAAGCTGTTTCCTTTCCACACCTGGAAGGAAGACAACAGAAAGAGAAGCTTTAATGGAGCCGGGCAGATGAGAGTTAATCGTCGTCTCAAAATGGCGACTGTCCTCCAGTGCTGTTAGAGTCGCCTTCCCTTTACCTTTGTGGGCAGCTTCCTCCTATGATAATGCTCCTCTCTGTGTTTCAGTAAGAGAAGAAATGGTGAAGTTGCTAATAATGGCACTAAAAAGAAAATATGCTACATCTGTTATGGATAGCAGTACAAAATTAGCTGATCACACCTCTGACACCCAAGATGTCTTCACTTAAAATACTCATTGGCTTACTTTACATAATTTGCTGATTATATTTAAAAGAAATACAATTTTGCAATTACTGTTCTTTCTGGTGCGCTATCTATGCATCATTTTCTTTTTATGTTTATATATTTCTCCTTCATTAGTGCAGTCTGAAGGGTGATTAGATCCCTTCAAACATTTTACAGAGGTTAAACGTTGATTAAGATTTAATTATTACTGTAAATAGCTTGGAATGACATATGGTGCAAAAACCTGACATATGTGCATTTGAATAAATGAAGTGCTATTTCCCATGATGCCTCAGTAGCTGTTTAACAGCTTTGCTGAAGGGTTATGTTGCACCTCATGTTAAGATTGCTTTGATGTTATATTTTGTTGGGTTTTTGCAGCTGAAAGCTAAGAACAGTTTTTCCAGTTTTTAAAAACATTGAATATTTTAAATACCTAAATTGTTTTGCACAAATTTTTGCTAATTTGTCTAACTAGGTTAAACATTTTCAAAAGCATTTAGATTTTAACGTGGGTTCTTAGCATTGTGTCAGCTACAGCACTCATTAAATGTATAGGATTTTTAAAAATATGATAGTGGGAGGTGGCCTGTCCTGTGTTCTGGGTGGGATCCTGGCCTAGATTGCACAACAACAATGCCCCAATCTTTTCCTCCTGATGCAGTGGTTCATACTATTTTTAGATCCCAGAAAAGCTTTCATCTAAGTCTGTCTGGAGCAGCATAAAGGAGAGAAGACAGAACACTGCTGCCTCTGCAAAGCACAACAGAGAGGATCCACGGATGCATTTTGCAAAGACTTTTTAAGACATATTATTTCATCTGTTAGAGCACGTGACTTGACTTGGTACTGCCATAGATGTGCATGGTGCTTTACAAAGAGAAGAACAACTTGGGGTAAAATTGTGGTCTCACTGAAACCATCAACCCTTTGCCACTACGGCCAGGATTTCACCCATGGTGCTACCCTGAGAATTTAGGACCCTGATCCTGGCATTAGACCTGCACAGGGAACCTCTTGCTGCTGGAAGAAGCCCCAAAGACCTCACTGGGTCTCGGCAACTCTAGTTGTAGGGTCGAGGACTAGGTAGGGAGGTGGCATTGATCAAGGCTTAATCAGAGCAAAGCCCTCTGTGATCGGGGGATAGGCATTGCTGGGTGCAGCGTACCATTAGTAGCGTTCATTATTGCAGAGCCAAGTAGGTCTGTTGGGCCTGATCCTGATCACAGGCCATTTTACACTGACCTCTGTATGGGTTACACCTGATTAACAGTCAGAGATGAGATCAAAGTTAAGCTCATATACTTCCCTATAGTTACCCCAGATGGATGCCAGTGTCATTGAGATCAGAATAAAGTCAATGAAATGTATGTTCTTAGCCACGTACGACTTCTGTATATGTATTTTATCACTTTACCTCTTCATATATCAACCTCCCAGCAGTTCTAACTAGGTCTTCTCTTTTTTTTGGCAGATTGAGACATCACGACTCGAGCCAGAAATCGCAATGGCCACTACCAGTAAGACTGTTGTCTACAATAAAGGACTGTAAGTGGAAGTGGATCCTCTCTGCATGGAAGATTTGGGGAGGGGAAGGGAAAAACTCGCAATTACTACTGGGGAGGGGAAAAAAGAAAAAAAACAAACAGCAAACAATAGAACTCAGAGATAGTAACATATTACCACCCTCGAGAACGGGGAGTACATTAACACTTTCAGAGAACTGACACCTCGCATCGGTCGAAAAGATTAATATTAAAAGTTTTAAATTAGCAGCAGGAACAAAAAAAAATGACATTCAAACACATTAGAGAACTAGCTGACAAATAATGTTCTGAATTTACAGCGCTGCGTGGAAGGAAGTTTAATGATACATGTATGCGGTTATGCCTAACTCTGTGTGAAGGTAGACTACACAAGGCAGTTTTGGTTTTAATAAGAATTAAATCTCCACACTGTTGGATGCTGCACAGATATAATTCCACAGAAATCGATCGGTGCATGAATTAGTGCTAGATAGGGTGTCTGATGAGGGTACAGTATTGATTAAATGTCAGTCTTGCACCAAGAATCATAAAGAACGGGGGAAAAACAGTTCTCCACGTTTAGATTGTAACACTTGGATTTTAATCAAATAGTGCAATGAAGGTCAGAGCCTGTGTCCCCTCCCTCCCTTCCCTGCAAACAACTAGAGTGGTTTTTTTGCCATTTCACAGACTTGCAAGAAATTCTGTGTGAGCCTAAGGCATTGGTATAGTCTTGCCCAAGATAGAAAGATAATGGACAATTGCCCAGTTGCAAAACACAGGGCAGGAAAGAAATCCTCTAGTGTAAAGAAAACAGATCCATTCTTTAACTTTGCACAGATCTATAATTAACCAACTTCTGTTCTCATTTACATTGACAAACACCGGAAGTAACTTTCTGTTGGCTGCGGTGAAGTCATGCTGTTAGAAGAACTGAGAGCAGAATACAGCCTCGTAATGAAAGGCCCGATCTGGCATAAACGGTCAGAGCCCCATTGGTTTTATTGGAATTCTGCTGATTTACATTGTCTGAGGGTCTGAGTCATAAAGTCGACCCCATCCTAATCCCTTTTACACCAGAATAACTGCAGCCAAAGGATGCAGATTTCTGATTGGGGTTACGTCGATTAGAATTTGTCTTGCTTTTGCATTTTATCACTGCAGAAGATGAAAATAAAAAAGATCTTGATCAGAAGCCAGATGCGATGGCGAGGGGCACAATCCAAGTGCATGTATTATACTAATCTGTTTGGGATTTGGGGTTCTTCGGGGGTGGTGGTGGGTTGTGCAAGGGAAATCCAATTGCCACTGATGTAGAATGTATATAAATGGCAATATGTGAAAGTAAGAGACCTAAATCATCAGTGTGTTACTTCCATTTTATTGTTTGTCTAACTCCTCTCTGGAGTCACACCAGTGTGCAATGGGAGTTACTCAGTCATGGGTCAAACTCCAGGGGCTGATTCTGCTCCCGTGCTGGGGGTAAAATCAGGGGTAACCACACTGGAATCAGTGGAGTTACACAAAATAAAAGCCACTCAAAGTGGGAGGAGACTCTGTCTCACAGCATTTTGTCCATCCCTAGGGTGGTGAGTACGCCAGATCATGCTCTCTGTTGTGCTAGTGTAAATCCAGAATCATTTCACTCCAACTGATGAAATCATCCTGGATGTACACCCGAGTAACAACAGAATGAGATGGCCTCAGTTTCTTCTAATGCACTAGATGATATGAATGTACACCTCACACCAAGTGAGGTAGCCCACGTCTGCTGAGTAGCAACCAGGTCTAAGGCGTTTAGGGAAAAGACAGACTGGAAGAGTTGTGTTCTGCCAAAGCAGAGGTTTACAATGAATAGCAAGGATAGACATAGAGTGGTGCTAAGAATGGTTGGTGGAGCCGATGTGATGAAGCACATTCCTCCAGGGCACAGGTTTCAAATGGACACATCGGGCCTGTTTCTCCACTTACACTGTTGTATATGCCATTGTGACTTTACTGATAAACCTGGGAGAGAAGCAGTTAGAGCCCAGCCATGTGACTGTGGTGTGCACCTCGTGTGAGTGCATGCAGACGCATCCCACTGAATTATACACAAGACATGCTGGGCTTGGTCTTCAGCTGGGGCACGGTGGTGTAGTGCTCTTGAGATCAGTGGATCTCTGCTGATTTAGCCACTCTGATTTAGCCCAATTTCTGCACTCTCGCACTTTGTGTCATCATTCACACCAGCGCCCATGCAGGTCAGTCAGAGACTTTCTGTTGACTTCTTCAGGCTTAGAGTCAGACCTAAGGCAAGTGCCCAGTTCCGACCAGTTTGGCTTGTTTGCAGTCAACACCCACACTGGTCCGGCATTTAAGATGACACAAGGGATGGTGCAGTCCAGAATCAAGCCCATTGATCCCAACCAGTGTGTAACTGGATCACAGCAGCAATGAAAGAGAATACAGCCAGGCTTGCCTCTCTAGCTGAATAAGGCAGAGAGAGGGCCAGTTTCTGTTAACTGATCGGGTGCCGAAGTGTGATTGTTTTCCACCTCGTTCAAGTCCTGAACAACCAGTCATGTATCTACTTTTGGAACACGCCGTCATCTGGCACTTAAGACTCATTCACAAAAAAGCAGTGCGGAGGAGGAGGAGGGCGCACCCAGCTTTTGTATTAACTGTACTCAAGCAGGATGGAAGAGTCGGGGTTAAGTGCCTAAGTACTTTACATAGCTAACAGGTGGAATAGAGTCCGGCCCAGGATGTGCAAAGAGGGGAACACAAAAACCCAAGTTGCTGGTGAGCAATGCAAACAGAGTTTTGCACAGAAGCAGATCACCGCATTAGCACAGCAGAAAATGGGACTTTTCGCTGCTGTATTGATCAGACTCGAGACAAACCCGGTTCCCAGAACTGGCGGACACTAGTGCATGTGTGCGTGCGCACGTCGTGGAGAAAAACCATGTGCCAAATAAACAAAACAGCTAAACTGAGCCTCAAGTTAATCTGAATTTTCTGATGGTCCTAAGGAATGTGAAGCCAAATTGCATCTTACTGTAGAGAGGGCAACCTGCCTTCTTCATTGTTCTGAACTGAAATGAAAGTCGTGAAAAAAATCAGCTTCTCGTGTTAGCAGTGAGAACTGTCCTGGTTGTGTTTTTCTGTCAGCACTGATCATTTTCTGTGCCACAGGGTTTTGTCACCGTTTGAACCATTCTGCTGAAATCCTGCCAAGATCGCTTGTAGGAGGGGTTAACTGAGTCATCTGAGACTGGGGAGGGGATGGAAACGAATACCTCTCTTTGCAACGATACTGCTGGGGGGAGGTGGGGATGATTTGTTTTTACATCATAATTACTGATCAAAGATTCCAGTAGCTGTGAACTCGAGCTACCTGCCGGGGCTGCAGATGGCGTGAGTAATGCTCAACATGCACAGTTAATTGCAATGCACGGTAGAAAAATATACAAGGATTTGCTCGCTGCATTTTTTGTGGTGAGAGATACCTGAGGAAAGAAGAAAACCCAGCAAGTGTTGCATATGTTAAAAGTCAAACTTTGTGTATTTTTCATGAGGAAGGCAGCAGGCTTCAGTTCAGTGCTTCACAGGTACTTAATAGAGGCGTTGCTGAGGATTGCAGTGTTTTAAAGGAAAATTGAACTGGACCTTCATCTTAAATTTCAACCAGAGGGCCAGTGCTGGTTTCCCACTAGTGTAAGGAATAGATCTGTTGGTGTCAAAGGCATTACACTGCCTGTCTGGCATAAAGGGGATCAAAATCCAGTGCCAAGTCAGAAGAGTGACAGCAGAAGGGTCAAGAGGGATGTCCCAGATTGATTTTCCTCCACTAAATCAGAGCAGGGGGTCGGACTTGATGATCTAATAGGTCCCTTCCAATCCTAGAAATCTATGAAATCTATGAATACCTATCAAATGTACTCACTTTGCATGTAAGAAAGTGGGGTCCACATCGACGTCAGTGAGCAGTGAGGCCATGCTGATTTACGGCCATGGGAGAGATGACTTGCCTGTGCTCTACCCCTGATTTCTGCAAATGCAGCCTAGGATCTGAAAGGCAAACCCCTTCTTCTCTCCCACAGGTTACATCACTGCAGTGAGTCAGGACCTGCTGAACTCTTGTCAGTGAGATGTGCCAAGCTTATTTTCCCCTAATTACAGCGCTAACAGGAGTAATCAGACAGACAGCGGGCATGTCTACACAAGACGCTGACCGTGGAGTTGTCTAATTAGCTCTGCAGTAAACATCTCAGCGTCTACATGTGCAGCCCTATTAGGCAGCAGTAAATGAATACCGCCGTAGGATAGTGTTTGTAAATAAGTACTAGTGCACAGCAACACGTGTAGACACTGATGGGGCTGGCTGGGGCATGAGGATGCTTCAGTGTGGGGGCTGCCTGCCAGCTAGCCCCACAATGGAGCACCCTTGTGCCCCAGCCAGTTCCTCTGCAGCCATTGAGCCAGGTCTGGGCAGCCCCAGGGCAGCAGGCTGACCCCCCAGACCTCCTGCTGGCCAGGGCTGCAGCAGCCCAGCTTCACGTGCTGCAGTTCTGGGCACAGGTTCGACTGGCTGCCTGGGAGCAATAAATTCCAGTGCGATATGCGCTGGAGTTTCTTGCTTCAAATTAATTACATGTGTAGATGCACCCAGTGACCCTTTAACACGGATTAAGTACTAGCAATGATCTCTGTTTCCTAAACCTTATTAAAATAAAACGCAGACATTTCTTATGTTGTGCTGAACTCAGGAACTTAAACCAGAGAGGAACTGAGCATCTGCTACTCAATCCTATGATTTCTGCTAGAAGTTACAGGTCCCAGCACCTCTGGATTTCACCTACAGTGGATATGTTTGATTTCAGAAGAAGGAGATAACAATTAGCCTGATCCAAACTTCTCTGGATGTATCACCTGCCCATTATGTTATATATAGCCACAGAAATATTACTACTGTTTTCTGGAATGGTCCAGGTCCACTCAGTTATTTAGAGCCCATCTCCCACTATAATAGTTACAGCT